GATTCGATATTCTCGTTGATGGCTACAATAGTCAAGATAGGAATTCAGTTCGTTATTATCTTCTATTCCGAGCCCGTGACAGTAGACGATGCATGCAAGATAAGATCTTAAGAGTGAGAAGTAAGAGTGAGTAGCATCAAGGCGTGTATTCATATCCAAAATTGGGGTGAAAAGCCTGAAGTAGCCGGTGCGTGCTCAGTGAGCAATCAGTGAGTGGCCCCGAACGCTCACGGGGCACTCAGGTGCTGCCCTCATAAAAGCAGCGGCACCCGTATCGGGCAACTGGACGGAACTTGCAGAAAAACAGTTCAGTTATACGCTATCAGCTATAACATTCGGCTTATAACTCCCATCGTGGCAGTATACAAAAGAATCGCTTGTCGATGACATTTATTCTGATAGTAGTCTTCCCAATGCAAGGAAACACATATGACTCTGACCAGAAGCCATCGTGATATATACGGTATGATGTAGCGAATTGCCTGGTCACTGACGCACTTTCTTGTAATGAGTGAGTTTTTTTTTTTAAAAAAAAACAGGCCTTAGTATTCTACTTGGTGTCTAATAGACAGATGTCAGCTTAGGAGGTCGATAGCTCGTAATCTAAGGACCAGAACACCTCAGTTCGGAAGCAGTACTGGACGATACAGTCGCGAGAATCTCATAGCTTGGGTCCGTGTTCCTTTATCTACTATCTCAACCCCGGATGTGCATCTTCGATTGCCACCGTAGATCTTCGGCTTGCGGAGGTACTCTCAACGCCCTTGATATTGTCTCTGAGCATGGGATGCCAGAGGCTTACTCTTCTTCCATTCGTACATTTTACCAGCTTGTGTTCTAATTAGATAATCCAGTTTTGATTTGGAGGCGCATGTCTATTCGGGAGTAAATAAGAGAAGTAAGGTATGGGTTGATGAAGTATGTTCCCTGTCTCCCAATCCTCATGGCGCTCTATATGTCTGTCTGCTAGAGATCATTTACTAGCCACTACTCTTTGAGCTTCATTGCTGTTCTTGCACATGAAATGAGCAAATGTCCATTATTTCGCACCTGATGCATACTATATACACTTATGATAAGCAAATTATGAATTAAATATATATAAGTATTTTCACAGAGAAGAAAAGAATACAAGAGGCTAGACAAGCTCAAACACCAGCCTTATCCAGCAACCGATCCCACCTAACCCTCAACTCCTCCATCTGCCTCCAACACTCCCTCCCCAATTCCTCAAACCGTTCCCTATCTTCATCAGTCAAATTCACCGCGCCTCTCTTCCTCCTCCTCTCCCGATCCGCCTGCACGACTGCATCCCCAACAACACCAGCGTGACCCCATCCATCGACCTCCGTGGAAGCCGGCTGGTCACGACCGACGAGATCACAGCTAGAGCCCCATTTTGCGCGTCCACCGCCGTGAGCCAGGTAGGGCCCTTCTGTGTTGTCGAGGGTGGGTTGTGTGGAGATTGAGAGCCAGACGGGAGCGCAGGAGCCGAGGTAGGTGGAGAGGGTATGCCAGGGGGAGCCGAGAAGGCGGGCGAGCCAGAAGGCGACGATCATGCAGTAGAAGAGAGGGAGGTTGAGGGGAAGGATTCCTGTTCCGCAGATGCCAGGGTGGGAGAGGTACATGTTTGGTTTTCTGTCGTCGGGGGTGGAGTCGTCAGAGGAATAGAAGCTGTTCACCCACGGAGCTGTACTGGGAAGATTGGAGGTCAAGGCGAGGATATCGGTCAGGGCTTTGGAGGATTCGTAAGCGGTCGTGGCGCGCAGGCCTTGAATGTCATCGGTACTGAAGTAGTTAATCGTAGCCTCCAAACTGGATACCCAAATAACCCGACCAGGTCCATTATTCGGATTCTGCGTTCCTGACCGCCTCAAGAGTGGCATCACATTATGGGCAAGCATATAGTGGCCAAACACATTGGCACAAAAAACAGCCCCCAATCGGGGTTCTTCTTCATCATTCTTCTCGTCCGTGCCTGCGCTCGCAATCTGCCGCTCCGTAATAACCCCCGCAGGCGCAACCTTATACGACGGCCACGAAACCTCATGGACCAGATCCGTGAGAACCCCAAAAATCGCCCTTGGCCAGTCAATCCCTGTCCAACCTCCAAATCCGGCATTGAGAACGATGGAGTCGAGTTTCGGGAAGGTCTTTAGGAGGCGGCGGGAGAGAGTGCGGACGGAGAGGAGATCGCACAGGTCGACATTCTCGGGGACGAAGGTGACGCGGTTGGATTGCGAAGGACCGGGCTTGGAGTTGCGGAGGTATTCTTGTAGACGGTTTAGGGTGTCCGTTCCCTTTCTAGTGCTTCGTGTTGTGAAGATAATCGTGAGGGTTTGGTGAGATGGGCGAGAGGTGAGGAATTCATCTGCTAGTCGGCAACAGATGGTGAATCCGAGGCCACTTTGGATTCAATGTCAGTACCGATTGGAGTTACGTGGTCAGGGGGCTCTGTCCAAACGGAGCAGACAAACAAGCCGCACATACCTGTTTGCACCCGTTACTAAGACAAACAACTGGTCCTGCAGACCTTGCTGACCCTGGTCCGTCATGATGCAATTAATCGAGATCTGGCGACGTTGTTTATTTCTGTTTTTGGCTGTGGAGGAAGTTCGGAGATTTGGAGACCACGGGAGGATGAATAAGCACATTCACGTGCATAGTTAAGTTCGTTATCAGGAGCGCTTTGTACGCCTGAGGTATCTACGCTTTTCCAGAATGCTCGCAATCAGCATTGGTGTTATTACGGCTCACAGGACGGTGGTACCGAATATGGCCAGGTACATACTTCATGATCCTTGAAACTGACCATTGCTAAGCCTCTCCGGCTTTATTCGGAACAGATCCCTGTTGAATATCACCGTCCGTTAATGTCGATTCATGCGTCGACAAGCATCTGCAATACCCTTGCGAGAGCATGACTCGAAATGCAGAAAACCACCAAACAGCTGAAACGCAAACCATCTAGCTTCATCCTGGACCATGATACCGCATGTGCTGACAGTATCTCCCGTATGGTGTATAATCCATGTGAGCACATGTAAGACCTAAGGAACTGGTAGGCTTGATGGATCTAATGCAGTGATTCCGGGATTTGAGAACAGATGATCAACAAGCTGACGCAGGACGCCCATTGCTGAGGAGCCAAGAATACTCCATACAGGGTACAAGTTTCTCGCCATCATGTCCTTGAAGGATTCAGATGGACTCTGTTAGCGTGTTTATTATTTATTCGGACACGAAGGCGTAAGATGGCACGATAACCGAGCGAGTGCACCTCATCTTGGATTCCGGAGTATCACCGAAGTAAATGAATGCCAGAAGCGATGTGATTCGTTGCAACAATTGCCCCCCCCCCCTAATCATTCATTCGTATTGATAGATTAGCAACCATGTGGTCTCGGGTAATCATGATCGTTGTGGTATGTCCTCCGTCTTGGACTTCCTCTGTCTATCAGCCTCAAGTTTGGGTGGACTTGCCGCTGCAAGGACCACAAGGCTGACGGGTACTGACGGGATAAGCAGTGGCTTGAAATCCGCAGAATACAGAGACACACCGACAATCTCGAGTCATTTATGATTTTCTCTGCAATCAGTGTGCAGATGGATAGTGTTTTCATGGCGGCAATCCATATGAAATGGCCTGGCCAGTGACTCGTATTAATCTAATGCGAATGATCCCCAAAGAACAATGGAACGCCCCATATTCCGGCAAACTTCCGATCGCGACACATCAAGCTGCGTCGGAGATTTTGGTGTTAGTCATTTAATGAGGAACAGAAAGAGAGAACCGCATAGGATCGCATAGGACGAATGCACGCCTGGCGTCATGCGTCGCTTGTTTGACCGCTACTCGACCAACATAGTGTTATCGCAGCCCTTCCCATTCCCTTCTTGGTTGCTTTGTCTGGCTCGTATCTGGCGCCAATGAGAAACAAACGCAGACGAGCCTACTTCGGAGGATATATTCCCGCAAATCACAGCCAGCGGCGAATCGACAAGAATGCGGGGATACGCGTCTCCTTGTAACCAGGTTGTATACAGAGGAGCGGCCGGGTTGGCAGCGCGAAGGAATTCTTCCGTATGCTTCCTCCAGCATGGTAATGCAGTATTGCAAACCTGGTTTCTGGGCTACGGAGGAATGGCCAGAAACGGGATGGATCTTTTCTGTACGAAGTACGGGTAACAGAGGAGTACTCTGTATGTCCTGCATGGCGTGTAATCCACAATGGTCTCCATGAAACAAAAGTTAGTACAGTACAGAGTACATACTCCGGAGAAACTTGTAACAGAAGTGGACGGGAAGGAACGAGACGTTACCTGTAGAATTCGAACGCTGCACGACGAGCACTTATCCAACACGACACGATGAGTCGCAGAACACAGTACACCGACATATCGTTAGAGGATTATTCTGGCTCATGATTGACGGAAGAGAGTTGCGTATTCAGAGTAAACACCTGGAGATCCTCAAATGGCCCAAAATGGAACTGTTGGCGAACTGCGGCAAGATCAGCAGACCCTGAACCATGTGACCCGACTTGCAGATCGATCTCGACTCCATCTTTTTTTGTATAGACCAGTGTACTCCGTAGACCAGTATAGAACAGTAAAAGAGTGGTAAATTGTCCCTTGCTGAAAATGTTATCTAATTAGACGGCTGCCATGGAGGAGAGTTTTGCTTGGCGGGACGTCTACTTGTCTGAATTAGTAGGGGATAGCCATGGTTGAACTTTGTTACCGAAAACCAAAGTCTGGATAAGGTACATAGTCGTACGGGAGTACAGATGCCTACTAGAACGGATCCAATGTACCACAGTATCAGCAATAATAGCTATTATTATAAACCAGAATAACACAACCTCGTACATACCAGTATGGTACGACTGGTATTACTGTATGTACTGCGTAAGCGTATGATACGCTATTGCACTCCGTACAGGAAATTAATCCATACACAGACTAGCGCTGTTAAAACCCCACTGCCCCACCACCGGCCCGATTAGCGTCCCCGGGCAGCTAATCAAATAGCAATATAAGCAAGCGCTAATATGGTCCTTCTAACCTAAATTCCGTCAAAAGGTGGGGCGGACCATCCAAATGACCGGAAAGACAGCTCGGTAATGGGACTACCCTTCTCCACTTCATATTCGGTCCATTTAAGCCAATCAGGAGAGGTCGTAGAGACTGTCAGTCTCTTCTGTTTTGTACAAAATACAGAGGCTTGTACGAGTATTGTGTATTTATGGTAACTGGTAAAATAAGGACCACGCCTCTTCCTTTTCTCTCTCTCTCACTTTTTTTTGTTTCTTCTATCTTTCTCATGTTTCACAAAAGCGGCTTTTCTCAATTACAGCTGCTTTTCGACTCTCTTTTCCCTCGTGATATTTCATCTCTATTCCGTACAATCCTCAATATCAAGATCACCGCTCGTATCAACCCAACGCATCGCTCTCCACTCCCGCCAAACAGCTGCTGTGGATTATTATTATTATGTCCCCGGACCAGCCCGACCTACCGCGTTCGATTCATCAATCTCCTGCTGCTGCTGCTGCTGCTCTTGCTATTTCTTCTTTCTTTTCTTCGTCTCTCTCTTTTTCTCGCTGACATTTATTTCCCTCCGCCTTTTTTTGCTATCTCCGCCATCCACTGATAGATAACCCGAATCCCCGACCGGCGATTGTGCGAGTCAGTCTTGATTAGCCTGAATTGATTGATCATACCTGTTCTCTAGCCAGATCGCTTGCCACTACTGTTTTCAATCTCAGATCTATTTCTTCACTTGTTCTTAATCTTTTGCTCGTTTCTTCTCAGCTCGGCCTTTTTTTCTGATTGCTGTCGTTCATCTTCTCCGGTCAACGATCAAACCCCACCTGAACCATTTCGCTTCCCGCCTCGACCACGCTCCGATCAACCCTCTCCTACCACCGGTGCCACCTCTTCGCAGCCATGGCTCCAGGCACGGGTCGCGATTTTAACTGTTCCTGGGAGCACTGCGGGAAGGTAAGTTTGTTCCGGTGAGAAAATGAAGAATCTCAGGCAGCTGACGGTAGCAGTCGTTCAATCGCAAATCGGATCTCTGTAGACATTATCGAATACATACCAATGAGCGACCCTATCATTGCAACGTCCAAGACTGCAACAAGAGTTTCATCCAACGCAGTGCGTTGACTGTGCATTCCCGGACACATACCGGTGAAAAACCTCATGTCTGTGATCATGAGGGCTGCCACAAAGCATTTTCCGATGTAAGTGTTTGCTGTACCAAAACTGAATCGCCTTGGCTAATGTCGCATAGTCATCAAGTTTAGCCCGCCATAGAAGAATTCATACAGGAAAACGACCCTATATCTGCCAGGAGCCCGCATGCGAACGAAGGTACTTAGCTACGGTGGCACCGGTTCCGCGCGCGCACATGTGCGTGCATGCGCACAAGATTATACGCATAGCGACGGACTGGCTAACTGATTGATTTCTACAGCTTCTGTCGCAAAACCACCTTGACCAAGCATCAACATCGTTCTCATCCGTCGGGGGCTATGACTCGACCGCCGTCGGAAGATACATCCTCAGAACATTCCTACCAAGCGCCCGTCAGCATGTCGATATCGAATGAGCAGTATATCCTGCCACAGCAACCATATTATGCCCAGTCCGTGACACCCAGCCACGACTTTTACCCACCACCGCAACAACAGAACTTACCAATGACCCAGATGGTCCCCGAGTCGCAGCCGGCACCGCCGCCCCTTGTGACTCAGAACGTTGCGGTTTCGCCACCTTTGGAGATGCAGCAGATGCAGCAACAGGTGGAGCAACAGTATCTACAGTTGATGCAACAGCGGTACGAGGCAAATCGCGTCGTGAACTATGTGCCGCCAGCGCAAGCATATCACCAGCCCGCGCCATATGCGGGACAGCAGCCGATGACGGAGACGCATCCACTCATGATGTCGACGTATCTTCCCAGCAATTATGAGTACAAGCCACCGATGCGAATGCTGGACCAGCCGGAAGGAACGGACTGGAGGTTTTTGGGAGTTGGCTGAGTCGGGTCTACATTCAACATTTGACCATATTACGGACATACCAACGACGTGTTGGCTGCTTTATTACCTGTGGGTGCTTTTGATTTTTTGATGACCATACACGAGTCGTGCTTTTTTCTTATATTTTACTTGTTTGATCACTCCGGCATTTGATTCCCCCCTGATGTTAGCAGGCTCTGGAGAGGCGTTTTTGTTCTCGATGCTCGATACCTCGATACCTCGATACCTCCATGGAAGTGATGTGCGTTCTTGTTATTTTTTATTTTTATTTTACGATATTTAACTTCTGCCGCGGTTGCATTAGCCATAGCCTATGGGTGTTTCTGGCGTTGATTCTGAGTTTCATTTCATTTTTGCTTTTGAAATTTGCCGCGTGTACGCTGATATTGCTTTTTTTTTTTTTTTTTTTTTTTTTTTTCTCTTTTTCTTTTTCTGTTGTGTTACTTAGTGAAATATTCCCTATCTCTGAAGAATATCCAATATTCAATATTCAACAGGAATGAATCCTGAATCCTTCAGTGTCTTGCCGCAGTCAATGGATATGATACTCCGTCCGCATACCCCAAACGGGAAGCATGTAATCAAATCGGGCGAAAATCCTCGGGCTGTCATATCCAAGATCCATGCAACGCCCAGCGATTCCGCGCCCTCTAACAGGCCCCTTCAAGCGGGGTTGTTCCCTCACTATTCCTAATAGCAATTGCTATTACATATGAGAACGAGTAGTGAGACTCATCGGGTACTCGTGGCGCAGTCAAAAGGTCAGTCAGGTCGGGTCAGTCAGAGAGGCGAAAAAAGTCACCAGAATCAAACCGTTTAATTGAAAAGGCGCCGCCAACCCCTGTCAGATAAAAATCCAATATAATTCACCGCATATGTATGTATGTCAATAACTAAAATATTCCCTGTCTTATTAAGACAAGGTGATAGACTGGAAAAGGGTTCCGATTCCTCGCCCACCCCCTCCCCTCCACTCCATTCCATTCCACTCTCCCCTCAGGTTACGGCTATTGAATTGATTGCGACAGCGACAGACTACTGCGACGCGACTGCGGCGGCATACATAATCACTCACCCAGACAGACAGATACACGAATGAATAACTGACATCAGCGTGCAGCGGCTAGTTTACTCTGGGTTTGGCTTTGGGTCGGGTTGATTATCATTATCTTAGTAAACCCGGAGCGAAGACATCATTCTGCATATCCAATTTCATGAGAGGATGAATATGGTTTGGTTTGGTTTGGTTTGGGAGGATTTGGTGTAAGAGGAATTATTGGTATTTATGTGTATTCATTTGTTTTGTGTACTCTGTATTGTACTCGCCTGTGTGTACTTGTACGGTAATTGTATTATCATCCCTGATAGGTTCTCAAGATTATCGCCCTATCTGGAATGGAGGCTAGTATCTGTTGCCGTCTCCATATTTAGAGAATATCAGTATCTCTGGTTCCGTGGAGAATGGAGTTAGATCCGCCAAGTACTTTCTACATAATACTCTGGGAACTACTCTGGACAATGATCTCGTAACCTCTACTCTGTCCTTATACAGATGTGATATCCTCTGTATGACAGATTTCTATATCTGAATTAATCTAGTCTGCTTGTATGTAGTAACTTATGATACAGTAAACAAGTGTATGCTATGCCCGAAATAACCCTCTACCAATCAAATCCCGCGTAATTCCAAGCCGAAAAAGCAATTATCGCAAACCAACCTTCCCAATGCCACGAAGAATGAACCGTCAAAAGCAATTATGCACCCCAGTTCTAATTCCCCCTTTCCCTTCTTACCTTCCTTTTCTATTTTGCCGTGTCTTTTTTTTTTTTTTTTTTTTCTATTGCCTCTGTACCAGGGGCAGCCTGTCCACGCCCGTGACCTTGAACAGGGGCCAACAGGAACAGGGACTACCAACTAATCAACCCTTTCTCGCGATCAAATCCACCGCGCAGTTGATGTCCCGGTTTGACCACTTTTCCCTGCAGCACCGTGTACCGGATGATGTTCTCGCAGTCTTCGGGGCGGACTCGCGCGAGCCAGATCCCCTGTGATGCTCCTTCGCTGTCTCTGTCTTCTTCGTCTTCTTCGTCTTCCTCTTGAGCCAGGTCGCAGTCATGTCTGTCATACGTCTTGTAACAGTCGAAGTTCTTTCGTCGGTATACGATGACGTTCGCTGCGTACTTGTGACCCCCGACGTGGCTGACAAAGTATATCCCCACGCCGCCGGGTCGTTCGTCGTCGAGTTCGCGGTAGAGGCCTAGCGGACGGAGATGACGTTCGAATTCCTTGCGCAGAAGCGGGGCAGATTGGCCGCAGCGGACGTCGCGAGTGCGCTGCGAGCAGAGAAGAATGACGGCGGCGTGGGGACACGGGCGCGAGCGGAGGGGTGTGAGGGTTTTTATGTCGGGGGTTTCTTGTTGTTCTTGCTCCTGTTCTTGGTCTGATTGTCGTTGTTGGTCGTCGTCTGCTTCTTCACTATCGCTGCTTGTTTCGCCCTTTGACGTCTTTAGTGGCGAGGTCGTGGTGATTGCCGGGTTGACGAAATAGTTGATCAGATCCGGTGCTAATGCGGGGGTGACATGGTCGATGATGCTGAAGCTGGGCAAGAGCAGCACATTTGTCGGCTGTTTCCCAGGCTCATGATAATGATACTCATCCGGTACCGGTATATTCGAAGCCAACAATTTGAGTTTCTACATCATCAGCATCCTCACCCCGAAACAGTCCATCTGGGACAATGCTTACCCCATTGCTCGGCTCAACCCCGCCCCTCTCAATCGCTTCCATCAAACTCCCCTTCTCATCTGCCACGTCTCTCACCCAATCTGTTTTCCCCGTCGCCACGAGCAAATGCGTCGCCCATCCTCCTATATTCCCATACATCTTATCCTTCATATCCACGTCGAACCTCGACGGGTACCGCACCGTGCAACTCGAGCAGTCGTGCAGACATTCTTCACCGTCGACGGCCGGATCGACCTTCTGAAATAAACGCTCGTGCGAAGGGGCGGTGCGGAAGTCCTCTGTCGAGGTTACGGCGAGATTGTCGGTGGAGGTTGCGGCGCTGCAGATGGGGGGTGTGGAAGACGGGGTGAAAAGAGAGGCGCCTTTTTTGAACAGCGATTGCATTGTTGCTGTCATCTTCACATTCAGTGAGAACTACTAACGAGGGTATTGCTGGTGGTGTTGGGGATGGTGAAGAATAGGAGTGACGGTCAAGATCTTATCAATCACTGGTTGTGTAATGCATGCGTTGCCAAGAGCCACACAAACATTCCCCGTCCCGAGTTGTCGGCGCTCGTTCGCTGTGTTGCGCAATCCGATTGGCCCGTGTGCCGGAGAGCCTTCATCCGGGTGGTTCCAGCAAGAAAGGGAAGCTTTCCCCGGCTTGATATACATCTACTTGTATGGAGTACAAATATTCTGGAAGTTCTGGACTGATCAATTATACATTACTATCAAAAGTATAGGGTATATCCCCCCGATCCGCCAACCGAATCACACTCCCTCCTGAACTCCCCGAAACATTCGACCGAACTCGACGCAGCGACTGCATCGACGGTGTCCGCGGCGCCAACATTCTCCGAGATGAAGGACGCTCATACCACGCCCGATTAGGAAAAGGGGCAGCAGACATGCGACTCCGCGGCGTAGCATAGTTAGAATAGTAATCCTCGCGCGAGGACCCATACCCAGACGACGAATGTCGCAGCCGCAAACTGTCATCGTCCTGGGAGTAATCCATCGTATCCGTCTCCCCTTCTTCATCAGAAGGTCCAATAAGTGATCCACTAGAGGTCATAATACTCCTCTCATCACTCCCATTGCCATCAGAATAATCAGCCTCCAACTCCATAATCTTCTCCGGCCCAAGCCCCTTCATCCCCCTCAACACCTCCGCAAACACATGCATCAATTCCCGGAATTCACACTCAAACAGCTCATGCGCCGAGAACCGCGCCCGTTCATACAGCGCAACAAACTCCGCCCCAACCTCCGGCGGCCGTATAACCTTCATCGCAGTCAACCGCTGAATATACTCCCTCACCCCCATCGACGCCCGTCGCTGTAAAACCTCCACAACCCGCGTATCCGGAATCGCCTGCTCCTGCTCCAGCCCCCCTCCCTGGGCACTATAACTCGTAGCCGTAAAAACGGGATCCGGCGGCGCAAGCGAAACAGCCTTCGCCTCGATCAAACGCGGCAGTTCCTGAATAACAGTGCGATACGGCAGATCCGGCAAATCCCGCGACTCCGGCGACGACCACCCCGGATGCTCGATATTTCCCCATGGCGGCCGGTCGCGATTCACAACAAGTCCCTGCTCCTGCTGCGCTTGTACCTGCTGGCTCTGCGTCTGCGTCTGGGTTTGTTCCTCAACAAGGACGTCCCTGGGTCTAGCCTGGTATGCGATAACCGCGCTTCGTGCTAACCCCTCCATCACGAGTCTCCTCACACTACCCCCGACATCCTCCTTTTCAACCGGTATCCACGCCTTGGGGATCCCCGTTAACACGCTGCGATTTGTGTATATGCGAGTCGCGTAGATGAGCACGGCCAGGATAAAAGTCACGATGTAGGCGCCGGCGATGAAGAAGATGTTGATTAGGCGTTGGGTGACGTAGCATTGGTAGATTGCGTCGGAGGGGGTGAGGAGGATTAGGCAGAGGAGGACGATGGAGAGGAAGGTGAAGGCGGTTAGGTGGAGGATGCGGGAGAGTTTGGGTTTCATGTTTTCGGTTGGTGTCGCATTTTGCGGTTGTTGGGTTTGGTGTCCTCCAAGCGGGTTTGTTGCTTACTGGGGTGGTGGTTGAGGAGTTAAAAGAACGGAACCATAAGGGGGAAGGGCGATATGGTCTGGAACGTCACGTGATTTGTATGTAAGACACAATTAAACAAAGTAATACTCTCATGATTGCTATCTAATATGTCTATCTTATTACACGCTAATTTAGTCGTCCGCAACAGCCTCCTCATCAACAGACTCTCCCCGAGCACGACGAATAACCCGCTCAATACCATCCAGACCCTTCTCCAACACATCCATCTTGGGTCCGTAACTCAAACGAACAAAGTGGTGGCAAGGACTATCGAACAGATCACGACGCTTGGCCGGGTTCAGATCAAAGAAGATACCAGGGACAACAATGACCTTCTCGTACAGAAGCGCGTTGAAAAAGTTCAAACCATCCGAGATGTTGGCCTCTGCAGGCAGAGGGGGGTCGAGAGAGGTGAGGTCGAGCCAGATGTAGAAGGTGGCCTCGGGAACGTCGCGGACGCGGAATCCGATGTCATGCAGACGCTTCAAAACATAGTCGCGCTTCTCGCGGAAGTGCTGCTGAAGGGCCTTCATCTCAGTGTGCACGAGCGAGGGTTCCATCATGGGGATGGCGGCCTCCTGGAAGGGAACGTTGGCACCGCCGTCCAGGTACGAACCAGCGGAGCCCAGAGCGTTGACGAATTCCTTAGGACCAACCACCCACGCGATACGCCATCCGGGGAGACGGAAACGCTTGGTAAGACCGTCAATCAGAAGCACGTCTGCATTGAGTTAGCGCCCATATACAAGCAATTGAAAAAAGGAGACAAACCATCTTGGTCGACGTCCTCCACGTTGGCAGCACCACTGATAGTCGATCCATCGCAGTCAGTAGTGTAGTTGTAGCCACCATAGAATTCATCCAGGATCAGCGTAGCGCGATCTCTGCAGATGTCCTGGATCTTGGCCAGCTCTTCATTGGACACAAAATGTCCGGTAGGATTGCGGGGGTTAGATGTGAGGAGCACCGATGTGCCACGAGCGATTTCCTCGGCGATCTTGTCGGGGTGAATGTGATAGTGATCTTCTTCAGCCAAGGGAATAGGAATAGGAGCGATCTACATCCTCAATCGTTAGCAAGCACACCTCACATTCCAGCTGTTGCGCGCGCTTACATTCTTAAAAAGCGTCAACATCTCCGAATACGCCGAGTAATCCGGAATAGGGAACGACAGGTACGAATTGCCCAGAATGGCCGCAATCCGAATCAACCCCGCTCGTCCACCAGGCACGATACAAACATTTTCCCAAGTGTACTGACTAGGCTTTCCCTGGCGATAATGCTCATTGTACATGCGGGCCACCGCGGCACGGAGGGGCTTGATACCCGCGGTCGGGCCGTATTCGCGAGAGGCAGAGGTGATGGGGATGGAGGTGGGACGAGGGAAACTGCCCTCGATCTCGTCGTCGGCTTCGGGGGCACCCTGGCCTAGGTTGGCCCAGGTAGAAGGGTCTTCAGCGTAGCCGTGTTCGGTCGCGCGTTCTGTACACCAGACGACACCGGTGGAGGCACGGGAGGCATCGAGACCGGCATGGGGACGGTGACCTTCGTGGGCAGCACGGAATTGACGATGGGTTTCGGAGCGGAGTTCTGGCGGTTGATTAGCATACAGGTTCAGGATCCGTACCAGTATAGCTTGAACAATATCCAGAAAGAGACTCACCATTCAAAGAAAGGTCCTTTCCGGCCGAGAAACGGCGGTTGGAGGGGGACAGAATGCTCAGGCGACGGCCGGAGAAAGACATCTCGATCGATAAGAATGCAGAATTCTTGGCTCAGATGTCAAGTGGAGTAGTATAAAAAAGGTACAGTAGTAGCACGCAGGTAGTGTTCCCCAGTTATCAGGAGAATATTGAGTATCTCGTGTAGAAGAGAGACAATTATGAGAATGAAGAGAAAAAGTAAAAGTGAATGACAATGAAAGCCGTTGCGGAAGCAGCAATGGGTCTATTTATAAAGGTTCTCCAAAACCCCGCTGGTCTTTTGATCTCTCGCACTCTACAGAGTGCTACTAAGAACATCCCTATTATTGCTTCACGACTAATCGACTATGCTGCTATTATTACTGCGCACTGTTATTTCTCTACTCAGAACAGTACTCAGCTGACGGTTCTTAGAAAAGGAGACGCCATAAAATGCCTCACAGCGTCTATCTTTCTCATTCTAGACTCAATCGGATGCTATCCGAGTCGATCCACAGCCACGCGGTTTTGCCCTGTATGGTAGTTGTTTCACGATTGCTTCACTCAGCCTTCTAGAATAAATAAGGGGTATCCTTGCCATCAATACGAGTTGCCCATGTATACAAAGTACATCGCATCTAATCTTGACATGGTTCATGGATGTCTCTGCTAAGATAATCGCTCATACCGATACAGAGCCTCACTGAGCAGTAAGAACCGCCCTGAAGGAGGGTTGAAAAGTAGGTAAGCTTTAAACTTCGGTTTCAAAGCTTCGCATCAGTTACTGTTTAGTTCAAGTTGAAGTTTGCATTCCTCTCATATAGTTAGTGTTATAGTAGTAGTATTAGCGATCGCCTCCTTCAACTGTTCAGTTCTCATCTCAAACATCTCGGCTCTCGGATAAGTACACATCCAGCCTTCCTAAACGTCTTGGTCAGTTGCACTGTTGTATTACCTCGTGAACTTCCTTTTGATAGCTCTCTCCTCGTCTTATGACATCCACGAACTCGTCGGCTGATTGGTGACGCTCGAGCGCGGCATCGACAGACAACGGTGAACAAAGACCTGTTTTCGAGACGATAATAAACCGGAACAAGATGATCAAGTAGAATCAGGTGAGGTTAGCTCCCTTGATGCACAGACTGTGCAGCCTTTGAGTGTAAAGAACACATGGGTTGTTCTATAACTGCATGTACTGCTTTATACATGCCGATTTCCTATAGCCCGTCTGCGGTTTCTATCGAACCATATGAGCTTGATTACCATGATGAACAAGGTCATGTAAAGGGGAAGATGCTTAGGGTCTTCCCGATCAATCACTTTCAAAAGGTACCATGGGAAAATCAAGTGGCATTGTGTCCATGTTTCGTCCCTCTCCTTTATGACCAGGCTTTTTTCAACAGCCTACTTGGCAATATAACCCCTCCTCGGCCTCGCCTGACGAAGCGAAGCCCCATAACAATCCTCTCCCGCACTCTTAGAAAGACTCTTTCTCCCCAAATCCTGTACAACCGTTGCCACTCTTAACTTTGGCTTTTTTTTTTTTTTTTTTTTTTTATTCCGCCAGTCCAGTCAAATGCGCATGGCAGTGGCCACAATTCACACCAGTCTCGTAATCATAACTCTTCAAAACGGGGTTCATGAAACCCCAAAGATTTAGTTCAGGGCAGGCATATACAGATTTCATCTTCGGGGTATCCATGGTGCGGAATTCATATCGCGTGCGGACAGTAAGATGGTCCTTAAAATTGAGGAAAAGCTGGACATCAGTCCTGATGTTGGGGTAGGCCTTGCAGTTATGGATAAGATACCGCTCGCCTTGGGTATCCTGTGAACCCTTCCAGCAGCCCTTGTTGATATGGGTTATTCTTTGCTCGCTTGCCGTCCCTGTAAAATAATCTACCAGTTTCTGTCTATCGCGTAGTGTCAATGTGATGCACGGGCAGAGATCAACCAATCTAGCCTAAGACACACGATTTCCTCCCAGGAACCGCACCCCGAAACCGATCAAATCCCTCCCATGGATGTAGTTTCTGACACCCAGTACAGCATGCCCAGGGACTATCTTCAAGTTGATTGAGAAACTCCATCAGTATATGATACTTCTTAAGCTTGGTGGTATGTTTGCCTTTCTTCGACAAGCATAATCTAGGGAAACGTAGTTCTTCTGTCTGGAGTACTGAGCCGAGTACCTGATAGAGACCCTTGCAGCTCATGGCTAGGCAGACTTGGTTTGGTAAATTGAGATAAGAGTAGATCTCGAGAAGGAATTCCATGGGCAAAGTGAATATTGGGAGTTCAGATGGCTAGGTTCAGGCTCAGGTTCAGGTTCAGGCTCAGGCTTAGGCTTAGGCTTATGTTCAGCAGGCACCGTCTGGGTTGTCTTTGATCGACGTTTTCGAAAGAAACGCGCTAGCTTCGAGCGTACTTTCTTCCAGTGCATATTGGATGGCTACTGGTATGGCATTAGTGGTATGGCATTAGATGCTAATATAGCATGGAGAGTGAACGAACTATAATGACGACTACAGCCCTATCACATGATGCCAAGCGCGAGCATTGACGCTGGTAGTAGAAAGGGAAATCGAAGGATGTTCCCTAATTGAGCGATGCCAGTGACTGCTTATTCTAGAAAAAGGAGAAGCATATAAATGCCTCACCTCCCGATTACCCGATAGTTGATCCACATCGCGGTTTTCTGCCCTCAATGGTAGTAACTGTTTCACGGACTTCGTTCAGGTCTATCTAGGTAGGAATAAAAGTAATAGGGGATAGAATAGCCAATTAAACAAAATTCATATCAAAATACGAGACCTCCCAACCTAGCGCATGCAAAAGAAAATAATAATAATAATAATAATAAACTATACATCTCATCTCGTCTTGAAAAGAAAAAATGGCTCAAACCAAATATCGGTATACATACATCGTCATGCAAGTCATGGTCATGGACATTGAAGGAAATATAAAGAAAATAAGAGTTCATCATAAAGTCGCCTTTCCAATGTAAGAAACGAGAAAAGGCTAAAAAGAAAAACAAAGGTATAGATCGGGAATTTATACCGTCCTTCGAACAGTCGATCTTTTCTATCATCTAATTATCAATCACTTGACAGTAAAGTTGAATCTCTCCCACCTGACCTTTGGAGAGCATGTCGCGATGCTGCTCTCGCCATTCCTGGAATGCTAATTGTACGGCCTCGTCGCTATCAATCGTGACAAAGTCTCCA